GATCTGGATTGCTAGTCTAAACGCTAAGTCTTAAATTCCTAAGCTAACTGCCGCCTTTTTTGGTCTGATTTTCGTCCCCATGCTCTCGCCCTATGCCTCGGGCTTATATACTCCTCTCCCAGGCGGTTCAGTCTTTCCATTTTGCCCGGATTCGAGTTTATCAGGAATCTTCCATTTATTTCGATCCTTCCTTTTTTCCCGCGGAAATGTTCTATTTATCTTCAAACTTGCCATTTATCTTCAAAGATGACATTTATCTTCCTTCTGCAAGTAAACCATCAAAACGTTATCGTACCTTCGGGTTAGATTTCGTTAAGATCGTGAGATGGGCTTTTATCGCGTTTTAGGACCTTTCGCGCCGTTTTACGATAAATCCGTTTTACGACTTTATACGAGATCGTTTCCTGATCCGATGCCGTTTTTAGTAAATTCCCCGAGTTAATCGTAAAGTTTAGCTACTTTCGTTTCTCGGTTAATCATTGCCGTTTTTTACGATTTTCTCGACGTTTTTATTAAAAACGTGTTTTTTATGATTTTAACGAAAAATCTAGAATAAATCGTATAGTTTAGGCAATGTTCGGTGTCTCGTCTAACCGTTGCCGTTTTATATGATTTCCTCGAGTTCTTTTGGAGAAAACAAAGTTTTACGGTTTTTATCATAAAACTTGAATGATAAGTAGGATCGAGATGAAACGGGAGACATTTTGACCAAGGTTCAGAACACGACCGTATCGAAGGACGTAAGCACTGAATCAGGGATACAGGAGATCGAGGCTCGGGATGGTCGGTTCGACGTACAGCGAACCGAGCCGGACCGGTCCAGCTCGCCGGTCGGCGAACTGTCCGGGATGCTCCTAGTTCGCCCAACAACGGCTAGTTCGCCCAACGGCGAACTAAGCTAGCTTGGCTTAGTTCGCCGTTGGGAGAACTAGCCGGGACGAGGCTAGTTCGCGTTTTACGGAGGTTTCGTAAAACGATTCTTCAAGTTTTATAAAACGATTCTCGAGTTCTATAAAACAATTCTCGAGTTTTATAAAATGATTCTTCGAGTTTTATAAAACGATTCTTCGAGTTTTATAAAATGATTCTTTGAGTTTTATAAAACGAGTCTTCAAGTTTTATAAAACGATTCTTCGAGTTTTATAAAACAACTCTCGAGTTTTATAAAATGATTCTTCGAATTTTATAAAACGTTTCTCGAGTTTTATAAAACAATTCTCGAGTTTTATAAAACGATTCTTCGAGTTTTATAAAACGTTCTTCGAGTTTTATAAAACGATTCTTGAGTTGTATAAAATGATTCTTGCGGAAAGCAATGATTCCATCTTTTACAAAAGTTATCGTACACGTTGATTTCGAGATTATGGTTTTTGACACCAACAGAGTGTCTTGATATGGCCGCATGTACTATAAACCCTAAAGTAATTGATATATGATTTGAGATGTCGAAAATTTGCAATCTGGATTATGTTGCCATAAATCTCTCTGGAGATAACTATTTGCAATGGATACTAGATACTAAATCAACCTGGGGTCAAAAGGACTCGGTGAGACTGTCATCGAGGATAACAATGAGAATGATATAAATAAATACAAGGCAATAAGTATTATTCGACATCATCTCACTGAGGGTTTAAAAGTTCAGTATCTCACTATTGAAAATCCTCTAGACCTTTGGACCACTTTACAGCAGAGATATGATCACCAGAAAACGGTGTTATTACCAAAGGCCACATAAGACTGGAAACACCTGAGGATCCAGGATTTCAAAACCGTGGATGAATATAACTCAGCTCTGCTCCAAATTGTTTCCAGGATGAGACTTTGTGGTGAAACTGTAACAGAAAAGGATATGTTGGAAAAGACCTTCTCCACATTCCATTTTAGCAATGTGTTGCTACGGCAACAATACATAAAAAAGGGTTTCACCACCTATATTGATCTGATCTCATGCCTATTACTGGCTAAGACTAATAATGAGTTGCTCATGATGAACAATGAGATGAGACCTCCTGTCTCAACCCCATTACTTGAAGCCAATAAGGCTATAGAAGAAAAGAAAAATTCTAAAGAAAGTAACCACGTCCAGAGTGATAAACCACATGGTCATAGCCGTGGTGGATGGAGAGGACATGGTAGGAGTGGACACTATAGCTCTCATGGCCGTGGGAACCACTATAACCGTGGTTGTGGACCCAATTTCGGCCATGGTCGAGGCAGAGGACGTAGTGGTATCTCTAAACCACCACACTTTGAGTTTATTTTATTGCTATTATCTTGTCTGATTTTTGCTTAATAATATGAATGATTTTCATTATAAAAAAACGTCAATATGAGTTTAAATTGCAAGTATAGTAAGTCCAATAAAGGACCACGGCTAGGGCATTGTATCATTGCCTAGAGGGCATGATTTATATTCACCCAGAGAAGCCCATTGAGATATAAGATATAAAGATATAAGAATGGTTTCCATATTTAAACAATGGGCAAAGGAAATAAAAGTTCCTTCAGATTATAGAAAGAAAAAAATCGCCTAAGGCCATAAGAAAGTGGTCAAGACTATACATGCATCCTCTACTTATCTTTACTATGCCAAGATGGTAACCAGAGTGTTTACCACGAAATTATCAACTTTATGGCATGACTAGATTGGCCATCCTGGTCTAAACGTTATGCAAAGATTGATATATAAGTAGGCATAAAGAGTTATCCTATAGAATCTCACTTGTGTAACATGTACACAATGGAAACTCATTAGGCCATAATGTCCCAAGAATTTAAAGATTATAATATGTTCATGAGGGGGCCGTGAGGAAAAACCCGTGGTCCATGACCATACTATAAACGGCTTGGATGAATTCTCTTATAAACGCATAAGACCATTCCCTATAAGGTCCAAAGCTTGGGGACACACAAAATTAACATGTATCTAAAGTTAATACACATCAGGCTATCTAGTGAGCATTGATATTCCCATCTCAAATTGATTACGGATCATGAACCAGACATATCTCATCTTAAGACATTTAGAAATGCCACCATAAACATGTGTCGTCTAAAATGGAATTCTAAGAAGAAGATGGGGATATATGTTGGATATGTTTTCTCCCACGAATATTGATACCTAGAGCCGGCCATGGGTGATTAGTTTGAGGCCAGGTACACAGATTGCATGTCTAATGAATTCGACTATCAAACATCAGGGGAAGAAACTAATAAGCTGGTAAAAGAATGATAAGATAAATAGAATGGAATAAACCATCATTGTCTTGGTGAGATCTTCGGACTAAAGAAAGTGAAATAAGACGTCCAAAGATAAATACAAAGCTTATTCATTTATAAAGCTAGCTAATCAAATGCCAGACACATTTGCTGACCCGAAAAGAAAAGAAAAGAAAAGAAAAGAATGACTAAGTTATACCAGCTTGCACCAACGAATATGATGTCCTAAAGAGACACATTTAAGTTGTGACAGAGTCTGGACAAGATAGAACAATAAGTTATGAGATACGAATCCTCAGAAAGAAAAAAGAGAAAGGTACAAAGAATGATAAAAAATCCGAGGTCAAAGGAAACCAGACAGACATGGAGATAAGGCTGGCCAGCTGAACATCTAAGGTACCAAACCATGTAGCTTGAGACGCCAAGCTGCTAGGTAATAAATGTCCTAGATAATAATCTCAAATCGATTAGATCATATCTGGAACACCATGATACTAGATAAGAGTGTCGACACATAGATGATAGATTCATTTAGGGAATCACATAAGGTAGCACTTGGACTTATAGATATAAAGCGAGGATCATGAACCCACGTAATAGAGTACACATAAGATCAGATTAAATGGAAATGTGGGGTTAAAGTATCTAGAGAAAGAGAGAGGTATTGGCCATATATATGCCATATAATATAAATCAGTGGATGCAAATGGGTCTTCTGAGGGAAAGAAATGAGATGTAGAACATGATCACGTAGTCTGAAGTTGTTCATGTTTATACTTACAACATTCAAGCATGACTTGTTACACAAGGATTCTCACAAAGACCAAGAATATACTATGAGGAGATATACTCCTACATGGTGGATGCTACTACATATTTTGAATTGATAAATTCTGGTCATAAGAAAGAAATTAGATTAACATATAAAGGATATAGTAAGTTGTATATAGTCCACTGGATAATAATGATAAAGGTACAAGAAACTATTGAGCTCGAAGATGAGAAAAGAAATTCTCAAGAAACATCATTGTGTAAAGCTGAATTGTTTGTGGACTGAAACAAAGCAACTGCATATAGTATGATAGATACTTAGTGAAAGAAAGTTATAAGAACAATTCAAATCAGTCCATGTATCCTTATAAAAGAAATTTGATTTCATTGTGTGTATCTTATACTAACCAGCCCAAATAGTGATTATTTGGGTTTATTGTTTATTTGTTTTCAGATAGGTTATGTTTTATACATGGTGGTACACGCATTGAAAACAACATCATCGTGTGTGTGTGTTTGGTCGAGGGTGTGTGATGGTCGGTAAGATGATCAATCACATTCGCATGGACCATGAAACAATCCGTAAGCGCTTGTGATCGAGGTCCATCCAAGTAAGGTGGTCACATCTCGTCCAAGTATTCATCGCCCACGAGTTAGAGAGAGAAGTACCAGTAATTCAAATTCATTCAAGATTGAAAGACTTTTAATGATGCTCAAATAAGGAGGAATATTACATGTTGTACTCTTTTTCCTTATCCATGGTTTTATCCTGATTTTGTCCCATTGAATTTTTCCTGGAAAGATTTTAATGAGACAACATCCAAAACGTATTAAAAACTCTATATGGTTATGACATCCAAAGAAGAGTGTTATGAACCAGAATGAGCCATAATCATATTATCTAGTTCTAATCATTTATCTTCTATAAAAATTCCCTATATAGGAAGGAGATCCTATGTTATGAGTGGATATACAAGCTAATTCTTCTATTTTCTATATGAGCACATGCGTAAGCAGCTTCCTCTCCTTGTCGGTTAGATGTCTCTGTATTCCACGCGGCTTTATATATTTAATGAATTCGAGCTTCTGTGAGTTCTATTATCATGCATTTTATAATCTCGCAGAACTTTCTTCTCAGTTTCTATTTTTCACTCTATTCCAATTACAGAATCTTCAGCCCAGAGAAAACTGAAATACATCCTTCTCTGCTGACAGTTGAATTTATTTCTTTTTGATTCCTTTCCATTCAATTTCGAGATCTAACCGAGAAAGCAGCAAAAAAACCCTAAACAGTCTTCTGCCAAAAAATATATATTTTTGAGGTCTATTCAGAATTGTGTTTGTCAACAAGAAGAAGATGGTCGAGAATATAAAGAATAATCAAGGATTAGGTGTCGCCATGGATGTTCTTCCTCGAAGCAGCTCCGACTTATTCGACGAAGATGGCCGTCCGAAGCGAACCGGTACAAATGAATTACTGTATTAATTATTTTGAATATAAAAATTATTCATACCAAAACCAAAGTAAACATAAAATTAGTGGAAGACTAATATATCCATGGGAGCTCTCTCCACCGTTCAAGTGGCAAGTTTGACTTTTTTCGATTGTGGGTTTTTTTTTTCATTTCTGTTGGGTTTTTGATGATAGGGTGATTTAATTGGGTTCAGGGACGGTGTGGACAGCAAGTGCACATATCATAACAGCAGTAATTGGGTCAGGAGTGCTGTCTCTAGCATGGGCTGTTGCTCAGATTGGTTGGGTTGGTGGTCCAGCAGTTATGATCCTCTTCTCTCTCGTTACTTACTACACTTCTATTCTCCTCTGTTCTTGTTACCGCTCAGGCGACTCTGTCACCGGGAAAAGAAACTACACTTACATGGATGCTATCCACTCCAACCTCGGTAAATTGACATCTCTGGGTTGTTTGTTAGCATCACTTTAAGAGTCTGACTGTTATAGTCATATGAATAGAGCAATATTCAAATGATCCAAACGCTTGAGCTGAATAATGCTTTCACAGATTAATTCTTAAAGCGTTATATTAAAGGAACTACTTTTGGAAAAAAATCGTGTTAAAGATTTTGTTTGGAGAAATTTCAGGTGGCATTAAGGTAAAAATATGTGGAGTTGTGCAGTATCTTAATCTCTTTGGTACTGCAATTGGTTACACAATTGCATCGGCTATAAGCATGATGTAAGTTAAAACTTCGTTTTCAACTTGTTTGTTTTTTATTGTGCAAAGTCTTCCACAAAAAGTAGACGCGTGTCCCACTTTGCTGTTGAATATCGTCCATACATGTTTTATTTAGTTTCGGCTCCATAATGCAACTTTCAAAGTCAATGAAGCATAATTTATTGTAGTTCTGTTAATAAGAATCTGCCACAGTTACTTTTCCAAGATTCTAAAAAGCTGTCACTGTTTCAGATTCTCCTACTGGTTCCTGCTTTAATTATTGTTTGTTTTCTGCTAACTATGATTGAAATTTACAGAGCAATCCAACGAACAAGTTGCCAACAAAGTAATGGGGACAAAGATCCATGTCATGTCAATGGCAATCCTTACATGATTGCGTTCGGTGTTATTCAAATCGTATTCTCTCAGATTCCGGATTTTGATCAGTTATGGTGGCTGTCCATTGTCGCTGCAGTCATGTCTTTTGGTTACTCAATCGTTGGTCTAGGTCTTGGCATCTCCAAAGTGGTGGAGAACAAAGAAATTAAAGGCACACTTACTGGAGTCACCATTGGGACAGTGACATCGAGTGGGACAGTGACACCGACCCAGAAAGTCTGGAGAACTTTTCAGTCGCTTGGGAACATTGCATTTGCCTATGCTTATTCCATGATTCTCATCGAGATCCAGGTATTTTCTATATCAGAGCTCAGAGTTCGTTTAATGGTTTAACAAGACAATTTAATGATTGCAGGACACGTTAAAATCACCACCTGCAGAGGAAAACACAATGAGGAAAGCGACTCTCATAAGTGTAGCCGTGACAACCCTCTTCTACATGCTCTGTGGCTGCGTAGGGTATGCAGCATTTGGGGATTCCTCACCTGGAAATCTCCTTGCTGCTGGAGGGTTCAGAAACCCTTATTGGTTGCTTGACATAGCCAATCTCGCCATAGTGATCCACCTAGTCGGAGCTTACCAGGTCTATTGCCAACCAATCTTTGCTTTTGTGGAAAAAGAAGCCTCCAAGAGGTATCCAGAGAGTAAGTTCATCACAAACGAGATCAAGATCCACCTCTTTCGGGGATCCAAGCCTTTCAACTTGAATCTCTTCAGGCTCGTGTGGAGGACCATCTTTGTGATTACAACAACGTTGATCTCAATGCTAATGCCTTTCTTCAACGATGTGCTTGGTCTCTTAGGGGCTATCGGTTTTTGGCCTCTAACTGTGTATTTCCCGGTGGAAATGTACATTGTACAGAAGAATGTGCCGAGATGGAGTACAAGATGGGTTTGTCTTCAGGTCTTAAGTTTGGCATGTCTTGTTGTGTCTGTAGCCGCGGCTGCAGGATCTGTAGTTGGGATTGCTACTGACCTAAAGAGTTACAGACCTTTCAAGACGGATTTCTGAGAGCCTGCCGAACAAATAAACGCCTGCAATAGGGATGAAATTATAATTGGATGTTGTAACGTTATCTTTTAAGTTAGTTAACTTTGTTAAGTGTTCCATATGAAATATTCTACGGAGAACTTGGCTTGAGTTCGTATTCTTGTTCATACGTCATTAGTGAATTTAACATATATTGGACTGTCGGGATAAGGGAGATATAGTTTTATCCTATACAAGGAACACGTTAGGTCTAATTATTGTCACTTCACTTCAGTTAATATCATATACCCAAAGACAATGTTTAATCCTGTATGCATTAATTGAGAAACATTATTACTTGTGAACTTGAACTATGTTATGTATCATGATAACATCTTCTTCCAGTATATAAACTTTGTTGGTGGTGAACTAGATAAGCCTTCAATCAGAAGGTTATTGTTTTTTTTTTTTTGACAGCAAAAGGTTGATCTATTACTCAAGTTTGAGATGGTTTAGGGAGCCAAACCGGAATAAAACAACCAAGATCCAATAACTCTCGATAAAAGGATTGAGCAGATTTAGTTAAAGAATCAAAAACTCCAACATGCGTCCTAGGAATGTATTTGCTTATTTTTATTTATTGTGACCTAATGAATGTCTTAATTTTGCTTGCAGATATTGAGGATCCTGCTAAACTTCCTAGTAAACTCACCAGAGCTCTTTTCCGGAAGCTGCAGCAAAGTCCCTGTACCTGGGGAGCTTACACTACCTCGCGAATAGGATCAGCCAGATTCCCAGATCGGTACAACGCTTCCTTTCTAAATCCTGTCTCAATCGCGGGTTTAGAAGGTAATCGTCTTATTTTGATTTCTTTTATGTACATAGGCTTATTTTCACTGGTGTATGAGCCTTAGAGAAATTTGTTGATTTACTTTCTAAAGGTAACTCGGTGGTATCAATCTCAACGGGAGCTAGCACTTCCGAAACCGAAAATACCCAACCAAGCAAGATGCCTCTTCAACCGTCATTCCGTTCTAGGTGTAGACCAGCTAAAGCAGCCAACACCTCACGAGGGAGCGACAAGAATCAGGGAGGATCTTTCCTCAGCTCTGTGAAGGAAGTTCTCGATGATGGAGCTTCCGACCCTGCTAAGGATGCCAACCCTCTGCGAAAGCCAACGACAAGTAACCAAATAAATGCGGAAAAATATGAAAAACGTAATAACGAATTTATAGAGAAAGTTGATCTTATTTTCGATTCGCGTAAGAGCGTTGCGATTATTACAGAGAATTATAAAGGCTTTGGCCGCAAGGGCCATCAGCAAGCTGCCAACATAAAACCCTAAATCTAGTCGAGTCGCAGCTCGATAACGAAAGACGGAAAAAGATAAGAAAAATGATTTGATTGATTTCGGACCGAATCTTATGAAAGCCTGCCTACGTACCCCTTTCGAGGATCAAGTCGAACGTAGTTCAGTTGATAGAGCTGGACTAGAGATCGAACTGCCTGGGCGAGTTCGTCTAGCAATTGAGCGCCAGTCATAGAAACTGAACTTGTCGAGAAAAAGCCTAAGTTTCTAAGTGCGGAAAATTCTAAGTCTAGAAAAGTTGTAAAAGTCTTAGATGAGAGCTCTGAAAATCGTCCCCTTGCTTCTGCCCTATGCCTCTTGCTTATATACTCCCTTCCTAGGCGGTTTAGTCTTTCCATTTCGCCCAGATTTGAGTTTAATGGGAATCTTCCATTTATCTCGATCTTTCCTTTTTTCCCGCGGAAATCTTCTATTTATCCTCAAACTTGACATTTAACTTCAAGTTTTAAATTTATCTTCTTTCTGCGAGTAAATCACCAAAACGTAGTCGTATCTTCGGGTTGGACTTCGTTTAAAGTCGCGAGTGGCTTTTATCGCGTTTTATGAATTTCCGAGCCGTTTTGCGATAAATCCGTTTTATGACTTTAGACGAGATCGTTTCCTGATACGATGCCGTTTTTAGATAAGTTTCTCGAGTTAATCGTACAGGTAAGCAATGTTCGATGTTTCGATTAATCGTTGCCGTTTTCTACGATTTACTCGAGGTTTTATAAAAAACGCATTTTGTACAAATTTTACAAAAAATCTTGAATAAATCGTATAGTTTAGGCATTATTCGGTGTTTAGTTTAACCGTTGCTGTTTTATACGATTTCCTCGAGTTCTTTTTGAGAAAACAAAGTTTTACAGTTTTTATCGTAAAACTCGAACGATAGGACGGATCGAGACGAAACGGGAGACATTTCTACCGCGATTCGGAATACGATCGTGTCGAAGGACGTACGCCTTGAATCAAGGATGTGGGAGATCGAGGCTCGGGATGGTCGGCTCCACGTACGGCGAGCTAGTTCAGCTTGGCCAGCTCGCCGTATGTCGAACTAGGCGATAAGAATCTGCGGGGCAAAGTCAGCGCCTCTTAGTTCGCCGTTGGGCGAACTAGTCGGGACGAGGCTAGTTCACTAAACGGCATACTAGGCCGGCGTGGCTTAGTTCACCGTTGGGCGAACTAGCCGGGATGGGGCTAGTTCGCCCAACGCCGAACTAAGCCGGTCATGGGTTAGTTCGCCGTTGGGAGAACTAGCCGGGACGGGGCTAGTTCGCCTACTTCGCCCAAAGGCGAACTAAGCCGGTCATGGCTTAGTTCGCCGTTGGGCGAACTAGCCGGGACGAGGCTAGTTCGGCCACCGGCGAAATAAGCCGACTTGGCTTAGTTCGCCGTTGGATGAGCTAGCCGAGAGGAGGCTCTTTCGTGTTTTACGGCGGTTTCGGTTTTTCGCGGTTTTGTAAAACGATTCTTCGGGTTTTATAAAACGATTCTTTGAGTTTTATAAAATGATTCTCGAGTTTTATAAAACGATTCTTGAGTTTTATAAAACGATTCTCGAGTTTTATGAAACGATTCTCGAGTTTTATAAAACGATTCTTCGAGTTTTATAAAACGATTCTTCGAGTTTTATAAAACGATTCTCGAGTTTTATAAAACGATTCTCGAGTTTTATAAAACGATTCTTCGAGTTTTATAAAACGATTCTTCGAGTTTTATAAAACGATTTTTCGAGTTTTATAAAATGATTCTCGAGTTTTATAAAACGATTCTTGAGTTTTATAAAACGATTCTTCGAGTTTTATAAAACGATTCTTCGAGTTTTATAAAACGATTCTCCGAGTTTTATAAAACGATTCTCCGAGTTTTATAAAATGATTCTCCGAGTTTTATAAAACGATTCTCCGAGTTTTATAAAACGATTCTTCGAGTTTTATAAAACGATTCTTGAGTTTTATAAAACGATTCTTTGAGTTTTATAAAACGATTCTTCGAGTTTTATAAAGCGATTCTTCGAGTTTTATAAAATAATTCTCGAGTTTTATAAAATGATTCTTCGAGTTTTATAAAACGATCCGCGAGTTTTATAAAATGATTTCTTTTATATTTTTGCGGAGAATNATTCTTCGAGTTTTATAAAACGATTCTTGAGTTTTATAAAACGATTCTTTGAGTTTTATAAAACGATTCTTCGAGTTTTATAAAGCGATTCTTCGAGTTTTATAAAATAATTCTCGAGTTTTATAAAATGATTCTTCGAGTTTTATAAAACGATCCGCGAGTTTTATAAAATGATTTCTTTTATATTTTTGCGGAGAATATTTTCCATTGATTCCGTCGTGACCGATTTTGACACCAACAGTTAGCCCCCGAGCTCGCTAGAATCTTGAGCCTTTAGCGTAAGGTTCTTGTGAGTGGTTAGCCAGTTTAAGTTAAGTTAGGCGGAATTAATGGTTAGAGAGGTCCGTTGAAAGTGATCTTTCCACTCTCCAGAGAGCAGAAAGCGTTTAAGATTAGGGCTGCGCCTTGTGAAGGCTGCCTACATACCTTTTTTAGGGGATCAAGCCTTTCGTAGTTCGTTTTGGAGTTAAGGTTCGTATGACCTGTTTCGCAGTGAGACCTTTATAGTCTAGTTGAGTGTCGTGTAGGAGTTATCAAGCATATTGATGTTGATGGCATCTGGACCTTTGCCGGCCTTGAGACTAGCCTGGTAGGCCGTTTGGTCTGGCCGAGCGTGGCCGTTATAGTTTTCGGACTGGCCGTGTGCGGCTCTGAGTCCCTGCCGCTTTTGCGGGTTTATTAAAAATCAGTTTGCATTTTTAAGAGCGTGTTTTTATTCGTATGAATGTAGCGGGAAGAATATGAGTTGTTATTGAGGGAGGTCTGCGAGTTGTCGTCTCGCATTCCTGTTTCCCTTAGTATATCGCCTTGTTCGTTTGCTCGTTTTAGGATGTTTAGTAAATCGAGTGAGCGTTTAGATATAGACTAAGAGACATGCCTTTGGGATCTCGCTTCATGCCTTGAGACGTTAGCGACCAGTGTGCTGGGTTTAGGGCAAGACCTAGGTTTACTTTCGGATTGAGGCTATGCGATGACTAGTCAACTTTCGTTTTGCCTGTTGCGATTTTAACTTGATTCCATACCGATTTAGAATCCGCGATAGGTTCTCGGCTTATATGAGTCGTCTGGTTGGAACCGAGCATCTCACCGGGAACAATTTCTAAGTTGCCCGGAAGTGCTGACCAAAAGTTTGGATTTCTTTTATAGCGCTATTACCCTTGTGTCGGGTGTTCGAGAGCTATCTCTGCGAGATAACTTATGTTTGTTTAGGACTGTTGCGAGTTTGTTGTGATCAGCAACAAACTTTTTAAGCGACAGATGTTTACGTTGTTTTGGCCTTCGCGAAGGATACGTACGTTAAGAAGTTTTGTGTAATTTTATAGTCGCGGGCGGACTGTTAGGTCTTCCAAGAAAATGACTTTATCGAGGAAGGTATTTGTGTCAAAAAACTAATCTCCGGGCGTATGCGACGTCTCGCAGTGCCGAAAGTTGGTTTTTATTTTATATGCCGCGTTTCGTGTTCGGAACGTTTGCGGGCTCGAAGATGTTGTGCGGTGTTGCGAGTGTTTTGTCTTAACCCCGCTTTGCAAGAACACTTTGGTTCGTTTGCGGATATTCGCAATTTAAAACATACATTCCTGTTTGGATGTTAGGTATTTTCACGAAGCATTTTTCGTTACGGTGCTTTGTGAAGTGTTGACCTTCCGAGATTCGTATGGCTTTAGGAGCTCTGGTACGAGTGTTTTTTTATACGTCGGATTTTGTAGGCAACTTGCTTCGGAAATAGAGTGAATCGCGAGAATACATAATTTAGCCGATTTTCGACAAGTTAGCATTATCCGTTGAATGTATTGGCTTGGCGTGAAAGTTGTGTTCAGCCGCACAGCCAAGGTCGTATTTGGTAGAGGATTAGACCACGACACTTTCGTGCTATCGAAAAGGTCTAGTCGGTTTGTAAACTTGGCATTGAAGTGAAGCGTGATCGGACAATAGCCAAGTAGCGTT